GCAGTGGATAGCGTCGGCCTGCAGACTGAAGGGTCCCAGGTTCGATTCCAGTCAAGGGCATGTACCTGGGTTGGAGGCACATCCCCAGTAGGAGATGCACAGGAGGCAGCTGATCGATGTTTCTCTCTCATCGATGTTTCTAACTCTCTATCTCTCTCCCTTCCTCTCTGTAAAAAATCAATAAAATATATTTAAAAAAAAGATTACACAGGTAACCAGTAGCAGACCTGGGATTTGAGTGAGGCCATTTTACAGATGAGGAAACTGAGCCTTGGAGAGTTTAAATAACTTGCTCAAGATTACACAGGTAAAAAAATAAAAAAGATTTAAAAAGCTCTAGCCGGTTGCTCAATGGTTAGAGCATTGGCCCATGGACCAAGGATCTTGGGTTTGATTCCCGGTCAAGGGCATGTACCTTGGTTGTAGGCTGGATCCCCCCCCCCTCCCCTCCGGGTCAGGGTGAGTGCAGGAGGCAACCAATCAATGTGTCTCTCTCACTATGATGTTTCTTTCTCTCTCTATCCACTGAGCCAAGCCGGTTAGGGCTGGTTCTAGCATCTTTGATCTAAACACGGTACAACATTACATCAAGGTATTTCACTTTGCCTGATTTTCTTAAATTAGTTTTATAACAACACTTTGGAGATAAAATATATCCTCTCCATTCAGGGGAAACCAGATAGGGCAAGGGTGGTAGTCACCCAAACTCTGTTTCATTATAAACCCAACGACCAAAGTTCCCATTTCCCATTTGTTCTCTCATCAGCAATAACCCACTGGTAACTTACAACATCTTTCCACATCATTCATCTTCTCGAAACCACGGGCAGCCTGGCCTGTGTTGCTCAGTGGTTGAGTGTCAACCCATGAGCCAAGAGGTCAACAGTCTGATTCCCAGTCAGGAAACATGCCTGGGTTTGGGGGCTCGATCGCCAGTAGAGGGCATGCGGCAGGCAGCTGATCAATGTTTCTCATGGATGTTTCTATCTCACTATCCCTTTCCCTTCCTCTCTTTCTAAAATCAATAAATTATATTAAAAAAGAATTTTAAGAACCACCCTGCAGAGCTGCTAGTTCATTAATCCAAATTTACAGATGAGGAACCCGAGGCCCAGGAGGGACAAATGGCTCACTCCAGGGCATGTTGCTAATTTCTTGACTCCCATGCCCATGCTCCTGCTGTTCAGCATGATTTAGACAATTTCAAGCCCCTGTCCCCATTTCTTCAGGCTGGTAATCACTCAGGGACCCACCAGGACCACATAGAAGTGAGGAAAAGGGGCTGGTTTGGCCCAGAGGTCTGGAGGACCACAGCAATGTTCCTCTGAGCCTTATCCTGCCGCAGGCAAGGGCTCTTCTCTGAGGACAGTGTGTGGAACCCACCTTTCTCCCCTCTTCTTTCCCCTCACACCTCAGTGTGGCTTCTCCAGATCTGCCTTCGTCCCAGAGTCTCTTCAGAGAGTTGGGATAGGATGATGATAATGACAAGGGCAATAATGGTACTATAATAATCTATAACAATAGAAGCGTAATATGCTAATTAGAACAGACGTCCTGCTGGACGAAGCCGCGGCGAGGGAAGCCCGGTCCCGGGTGCCAGAGGGAAGCTGGTGCCAGCAGCCGGGGGAAGGAAGTCCTGCTCTTGCATGAATTTTGTGCATCGGGCCTCTAGTTAATGATAATAGCGAGAGTGTGCAGAGAGCTGGCTGCATGCAGAGGCCGCCCTGGCAATGTCTGCAGACATCGAAGCCACAGACCTCGGTTGGGTGCCGTTTGCTGAGGGAATGAGGCTCAGAGAGTGAGCCAGTGCCTCCTGGGAGGAGGTGGGGGAGGCAGGACTAGCCATCCCCACCCCAGAGTGCGCTTGAGGCCCTGGGCCTCCTTGGTAAATCACTTCAGACTCAGCCCTACACGCATTCCTCTCATATCTGATCTTCCTGGGAACCGGCTCCCCCAGGACACAGAGCAGGGAGGACCCGGCACTCCTGATGTTAACGACCCAGAAACCAATCCATCCTCATTTTATCTCCTGACATTTCCTTTTAATTATGAAAATGCTGTTTACTGGTTTTTATAATTCCTTCAAACCTATTTCCCAACCTGAAACAACTTTAAAACATGATGTAGCACAAACAGAGCTGGTAGGAGAGGTGAGCGGGTTTGGAGCCTCAGTCATCCTACCGAACCCCATGGGCAGGCAGGCAGGCAGTCGGGCGGGTGTGGGGGGAGGGCGGTGAAGAGCTACTGGGCTGGAGGGTTTCACACTTGGAAGCATTAACTCGGATCAGTCCCTTAAGGAGCACACGGCTCAAAGGCTTGGCTGGGAGCAGGTAGAGCTGATCTGTAAATAATCTACGGGGAGTTTACGGGTCGAACATTAACACGCAGAGGCGAGGCTTCCAGCGGGTGACTGGCCCGTGAGCCTCTGACAGGAGCTTTGCCACTGTTTCTACTTACAGGTAGAGGCTAGATTCAAACACAAACACTGTGATGCAGCCCGTTACGCAGCCAGACCCGAGTCTCGGTGGCAACACTACAACTGTCAGGTCAAGTGTGTGCAGGGTGAGGCCCCGCAAGGGCAGCTGCAGAAAGAGCCCATTAATCCCTTAACTAAGCAGCTGACGGGTTTACTCTTTTTGTGTTTATGGTATAGCTTTTCAAACACAGGATTATAATAAGTTTAAAAAAATCAGCACAGGCTACCAAGGCTTTTTATAGATTTCTTTGTCGTGTTAACAGACGACAGAAACTAGAACTTGGAGGGCCTCTGCTTACAATCCACTGTCACTCTGGATTGAAAAATTGTAAGAAAGCTTCGCTGCCAGATTTATTAACAAAAAGAATAGGTCTCTATTCGAAGAGGGCAGTGATCTCAGCCTCATGCCTGGGAACCTACTTGCTTTTGATTTTGCATCCATTGTTATTTAAAGTAGCAAAAAAAGACTCACAGTAATATCAGGAAAGAAACCACTTTACCTGGTGTAATCCCCTTTGGCTTCCTGGAATAAAACAAAGACAGATGATTAATTTGTATGTATGTGAAGTAAGTCAGAGACATTTCACTTGGCCATTTCCCTCTGAAAGTCCCCGAGCTCTGCTTTTTTGAAGAATGTACACAAAGAACGCTTTCTGTGACCGCCGGCAAGAATGTGGCATGGATTAGGAATCCCTGGTAGCCATGAAATAGTTCTTATTCTTAACAGAAGAGACAACTATCTCTTTAAAAGCACAGACCAGCCCTAACCAGTTTGGCTCAGTGGATAGAGCGTCGGCCGGCGGACTGAAGGGTCCCAGGTTCGATTCTGGTCAAGGGCATGTACCTTGGTTGCGGGCACATCCCCAGTGGGGAGTGTGCAGGAGGCAGCTGATCGATGTTTCTCTCTCATTGATGTTTCTCACTCTCTGTCCCTCTCCCTTGCTCTCTGTAAAAAAATCAATAGGATATATTTTTAAAAGCACAGATCATTATTTCTCCTTTTATGTTTCTAAGAGCAGGTGATTAATGCTTGCCTATTGGAGCGGTGCCCCTTTTAAACCATGACACAGGTCCATCAGAACATGCTGTTTACTCTTTTGAAACCAGCATGGAGCACACTTGGTGTGTTTTTTTGTTTTAATCTACCAGTGTCTTTAAGAATTAAAGGGCTCTTTAACCCAACCTCAAGGCAATGTCTACAGAAGTTACCAAACTTAAATGTAAATTACAGCCCTCCCAACAACGCTGCCTCCTGAACTCCAGGCACCGGGAGCGCCTTTCCCACTCTTCCTCCGGAGCCCAGTCTAAATTTCCTTTTCCTTTGAGACACACAATCTCTCACTGCAGCTCACGCAAACTGTTCTAAAACAGAAACGGTGGCTCACATTTTTCATTGGCAAACAACCAGCTGGCTTAAAAAGCCGTCAGCCACCGGCCCGTGCAAAAGTTTCAGAGTTGCCGGCAGTTCACAAAACCAATAAACAGAAAGGAGCAGTGGCCAGTTCTTACCTGCAAAGCCAGCGCCGCTAACCTGAAGACGGTTTCGCTGTCTACTTCGATTTGCCCCTGTGGGGGGGAAAGAGAGCATCGGTGAGCAGCCGCCCTCCTTGTAGCAAGCGAGTGGAGCTGGGGAAGCTGTCACCGCTTGGCACCTCAGTCTGCGATCAGATGCAGACCATACCATTGTGTGAAAGGGAGGGGGCGAGCAGAGGCGCCTCCAGGGTTAAGAGGAAGCCACATTGGTGTGTGTGTGAGTATCTATCATTGTGTGTGGTAGGGTGTGTGTGTGTGTGTGTGTGTGTGTGATAATTAGCCCTGAGAGTTTGCTTAGAAAGCACTTCTGGAAGGAACATGAATGACTTTGAGGCTGAAAATTTAGACAACTTCTAAAAGAATAATTGTTGATTTCTACAGGTTCATTTTTAAACTCTAAAGATTTTCTTAGATTAGTTCTGTGTTTTCCTGAGAATATTTTTTTCTCTGTGCCATAGCATGCTTATTTTGGTATATACACAATGTAAATATTTTTAAAACTATATAAATTCATGAGGTATCACCTCACACCTATCAGAACGACAACCATCAACAAATCGACAAATGGCAAGTTGCTGGTGAGGATGTGGAGAAAAGGGAACCCTAATGCACTGCTATGGGAATGCAATAGAGGAGATTAACCAAAGAACATGCATGCATATATGTATAACTCATGGACACAGACAACAGTGCGGTGAAGGCCTGGGGAGGGGGAGGGGAGCAGGATGGAGGGTGTCAATGGGTGAAAAAAGGGACATCTGTAATACTTTCAACAATAAAGGTAAGAAAATAAAAAGATAAATTCACTACTGTGACAATGATACTTTATTGAATTAATATTTGTACCATTATAGATAAAATGTAAAGCCTTAAAAAGCAGTTATATCAGCCCTGGCCGGTATGGCTCAGTTGGTTGGAGTGTTGTCCCCATGCATGGAAAGGTTGAGGGTTTGATTCCGGTCAAGGCACATACCTGGGTTTGGGGTTCGGTCCCTGGTTGAGGCAGGTATGGGAGGCAACCGACTGTGTTTCTCTCTCTCCTTTCCTCTCTCTAAAATCAATAAACATATCCTCGAGTGAGGATTTAAAAAAAAAGCAGTTACAGCAAATGCATCAAAGACTAAAATTCTGTTGCTTTATATTGAAGTCTGATGAGATCTAATTTACCATTTTTCCATTATTTTATTTTTTCATCCTTAAAGCTCTGACATTAAAATAGTACTTCTGGACCTGACCGGTTTGGCTCAGTGGATAGAGTGTCAGCCTGAGGACTCAAGGGTCCCAGGTTCGATTCTGGTCAAGGGCATGTATCTTGGTTGCGGGCACATCCCCAGTGGGGGCGTGCAGGAGGCAGCTGATCAATGTTTCTCTCTCATCGATGTTTCTGACTCTCTATCCCTCTCCCTTCCTCTTTGTAGAAAATCAATAAAGTATATTTAAAAAAATAGTACTTCTGGGCCTCATTAGCAGAACTACTGCTTCAATAGCCTGGCTGAGATGCATAAGTGTGTGCGGAAGGGCTATTGCTTCTGTTAATAATACTCAAATGCGCCTTCATTTATTTTATTAAATATAGTGATATATGTAAATACCATTACTGCATTACGTTACATATTGCAACAATATGTGGTTTAGAAGGATCTCTGGTTAAAATTTTATGTGTGCATGATATTCTAGCTTGTAAGCGTATGTGGTTTAGAAGGATCTCTGGTTAAAATTTTGTATGTGCATGATATTCTAGCTTGTAAGCGCGCGTGCATACACACACACACACACACTCACACACACACACGTAAAAATAATTCTATGTCACCCGCCCCTGGCCCAGTCCCTGTTCAAATAGCACCTGAAGGTGCAGTGTTCAACGACATGGACCTCCCGGCCTGGACCTGGCCCTGCACTTCTCCTCCCTTCTCCCCGAGACCCAGGCTGCAGAGTTCCCACTGCGCCCAGCGTGTCAGGGGAGGGACGAGCAGTTTGGAGCAAATGCAGTCAGTGGGTTTACAGAAGCAGTTAGCCCGTGAGGATGTCTGGGAGGGTTGTGCATTTCTCTCAGGTTTCTGAGTGATTTCGCTGGAGTTCTCAAAAACAAAAGGAAAGCCACAAAATGAAACCAAACACCCAGGACACTCCAATGTCAGCAGTGGTCCTGTCCGTGCTCCTCTTATGTTACAGAACGAACTCGATTCACTTCATTCACCAGCATCTAGGTGCCCCTTCTGAACCCGGGCAGCGGGCCTGCTCCAAGGCTTTCTGCTTCACACACTGAGGGCCCAGGCCGGGAGCTCGAGGCTCGCCTGTGAACTCTCGAACCCGATCACGCAATCAAAGGGAAGCCGGGCCCATGGGCGGATCGACGGCCTTCTGCCTTTCAGGCAAGAGACAGAAAGATGATGGAGCAGTAAGCCCGACAGGTGAGCTGGGTGCTGATGAACATCACCTTTTAGAAAGGTGAAATTCCTTACCTTCAAAGTAGAGGAAACTCATGTAGAGTGAGGGGGTGGGGAGAGGAGGGGAGATTCTAAAACATCTTTCAATTTGCAATGAGGCTGAAACTCAAAGTTAAAGTCAAATTTGTCTTAAAATCTTAGCAAAGAGAAAAAGCGAATTATTTTGGGTATGAAAATGCCTAAAGCTGAATAAAACATATTGAAAATATTTGCCAACTCCTCTATACCCCATGACCTGCTCTGCCTCATCAGAACCTTGGGTGAGTTATCCACACAATATTTTAGACACCAACTTTTCAATTTAGTAAATGGAAGTTCAGCAGATAAAAGACCTCAAACAGATACTCTTAAGGATGCTGCCAAATGAGTCTCCACCATAGAAGGTCATTAAGTATTAAAAACGCTGGAATGTGGAGCTGGAGCCTGCGTGTACCAGGCTGGGACAGCCCGAGGAGTGGGGGCACTGCGCCCGCCCCAGTTCTGGGGGAGGGGGGATGAGGGGTGGAGGGACGGGCCCTATCAGGATCTGGGAGAGAGAAGAAGCGGATTTGGCAGAGCTGCACGTTCTTTCACACACCTCAGCCCCCATCTCGCCCTCCAGTTAACCTCTGTTCTGGAAATTCAAGGCAACCTATAATTTTTTTTTGCGTGGAAGTCACCAAACCATGGAGCAGTCGGGAATAATACTATTTGCCTGGTTCTCAGTGATGTCACACGGTGAAACTTAATGAAGACTTAGACTGAACTGTACAATTTCGTGCCTGAAATGTGCAAGTTCTTTAGAAGCTGCTGTCTGTCCTGGGACAGAACATTCCTCTTACTTACAACCATGGCAACGGTGGTAACCCTAGAGGGACCAGCAAGCTAACACTTGAGACGCCGAGCTCCTCAAAGACTGAGGTAATGGGATCCCGCGTGGGTTTACATGGCTGGCGAGGACAGACAGGAGCGGACGAGCCAGGCAGATGATGTGGCCGAAGGCACTGGGTCACAGGGAACAGGACCCGGCCCCGGGGGCTGCTTCCTCAGCTAATGTAACCGGACTACGGATTCAATCGCTGGGTCACTGGGATCGGGCTCCACATGGGACACCTTGTTTTCGTCCTTGGCTTGTTGGCTCAGTTGATCAAAACATCATGCTAATGCAGCCGTGGGCAAACTACGGCCACG